CCCACTCTCAAATCCACTCTCAGAGAAAACAGTTGTTTACCTAAAATACTGTCAGCTCCCTTCCTGCATCTCCATCTGTCCCTGGTACTGCTCTCCTCATTCCATCTCCTGATCTCCCTCTGTTGGAACAGTGCTTCTCTAACTCAAAAAGCCCATGAGCCATGCTGTCAAATCAAACATTTAATCATGCTTCCTAAAGTCCTAAAAACATTAAAAATGGCATAAATTATTACATTTGTCATTCTTATACAAATCGAATGCCAAAACCAATTTTATATTAAAGACTTAGCCAGTAAAATTAAGGTTACAAAACTGATGTAAAGTGATGCTCTTTTGCTGAAAATAATTTAACAGTTTTGGATGAACAGTATTTAGGGGCTGTAAAAAACTGTATGAGGCCATGTCAGATCTCCTTGGGCTAAACAAGGGGGAGGAGAATTGAATACATCATCAGCCCAAGGCCAATGGCTATGAAGTTAAGATCAGATTTACCTCTGCCCTTCAACCGTCCTTATCAGTGCTGATAGTCGGCAATCCTACCGGTTGGACTGAACTTCTCTGCTGGGTATGAGAACTCATTGTAATTGGCATGCAGAACTCACAATTAGGAACTATGTTAAGGAAATTAACAGGCTCCAATTCAACATCAGAGACTCAAGACATAGTTCTTCTGTCATGACAACTTCTTCCCAATCATGTGTGCCGGCATGTCTCTTTCTAGTACATAGGTTCCTAACCTTACCTGTCCTATGACCTATTAAAAAAAAAACACAGTGCCCCCCAGTCCCTAGCAATTCAAGTTTTCTGTACTACAGCCCTTAATCCAGGAGAACGTGTAGATAAATATTTTTGCAGCCCCTCAGGACTGTTCACCCACTTTGGGAATTGCTGTGCTTGGCCTCTCAGCCACAAGCTTGGTCTCTGTCCTGTAAGTTTCCAAAGCTCTCTTAGCACTGCCAATAAATACCCAAAGGACACACAACTCTGCCACAAGTCTCAGCCTGAACATACTCACCTTCAGCTCTGTGGATCAGCAAATCTAGCTCCCCAACTGAATGCCTGGAGGTATCACTTTTCTCAAGCAAGCCTCCTGCCTGAGGGCAGTCAGCATTACTTGCTCTTCAGGCAGGGAGTCCAGCAATCTGCTTCATGCTCTGGCTCTTGGTTCTTCTGCTGTCACTCTTCTGTCAGTTTTTTTAAATTAATAAATCATGTTATTGGAGGCTCTTCTAGCAATCCATACATCAATTACATCAAACTTATTTGTACATATGTTGCCATCATCATTTTGAAAACATTGTCTTTCCGCTTGAGCCCTTGGTATTAGCTCCTCTCCTCCCCCTCCCCCCTCCCACCCTCATAGACCCCTAATAAATTATAAATCATTATTATTTTCCTATCTTACACCGTCCACTGTCTCCCTTCGCCCATGGTTCTGTCTTCTGCCAGTTTTACATTGCCAAGTTTTTCTGTCCCTGGATCAAGGAGTTTCAATGAGCAGGGGTCTTAGGATCCAAAGGATGTGTTCCACTCTTAGCTCTGCTTTTTTAATGATAATGAACTCCTCTTTCCTGCTTCTCAGATGGCTTATTTTATACCCAGTAGGATAGCAAAATTGACCAGTTCCCATGTTACAGCCCCAAAGTTTTCTAATCACAATTAACCCTGTTGACAACCACTCCCAACTGAATCATATAATGCTATTAGTATCTTTCCCTACCTGCTCTTACCAAGACCCATCAAGGAAAGAGTAAATATTCCCAGTCTGCATGATCTCACGCTGTCCTTTGGTGGGAATTACAGAGATTGTGGCAAGAAGGGCTTTGTCACTGAAAACGCTGCCACCCTGATGTTTCTAGATAATGTCTTTGTATTTTTATTTATGTGACTCTCAAGCAGCAGAGAATATCCACTTGAATAAGAATGCTTCAAAAATTATATTAATAACTCACTTGCAATTCACCAAAACGCTGACATTTCTGAAATTTTCAAATGCTAATTTTAATGAGGTGACATCTGATAACTCAGCAAAGCTTGTTTGTTCACTTGAAATAGGTTAACATGTGGTGATTATTGAACTCTGCCTTATGTAGATAAATTAAATCAGGTACAGAAAATTTTTTCATCATCTTTGACTTTATAGTAAATGGTTATTATTGATGCAGTGGTAATGGTGTGGGCTCAAACCCCCAAGGTAGAGAGATCCCCTATACCCAGAGGCTAAGGGACCAGAAAACTAACTTGGAGCCAATCTGAGAAACAAGATTGTATTATATTGTTGGTTCGAAGTGGAGCTTACAGAGCAGAAAGATAGCAGTCTCCGTCCTTCCAATGGGGCTGGAACTGGACAGGAGAGATCCCACTGAGGGGTCCACTCTAGGGCTCCCTTTTATGTGAGACAGTGGGGTGGGCTATTGAAGCTGCTGAATCTACTGACATCCTGCTGCTACTATACCCAAAACTCAGATAAAACTGTGGGTGCAGGAAGCATCCCCAATACCCTTAGATGTGCTGTGGCACCCTAACTGTGGAGCACATGTATCGTCCAAGTAGCAGAAATACACATGGGGAGTGCCTGCTTAGCTGCAGCAGCCTTTTGGGGGGTGTTATTTCATGACTCTACAGTAATATAATTTGTATCTTTTAAGACAGGCATACATATACTACCAGAAACTGTCTGATGACTCGGTTTTCTCATCCCACAGTATTAAACTAGTCTACCACAGAGTTCTTGGTTTATACAGCATTCTACATCAAAGAAAAACTATAAGCAACTACATAAGTGTGTTAACAACTACTAACCCACTGCCAGTTAATACAGTGGTTCTCAACCTTCCTAATGCTGTGACCCTTTAATACAGTTCCTCATGCTATGGTGACCCACCCCCAACCACAAAATTACTTTTGTTGCTATTTTATAACTGCAATTTTGCTACTGTCATGAATCGGGTGACCCCTGTGAAAGGGTTGTTCGACCTCCAAAGGGGTCGCAACCCACAGGTTGAGAACCACTGAAAATACCAACAGTTAATACCAATAGTGATCCCATAGGGCAGAATCGAACTACATAGGCTTTCTGAGACTGCAAATCTTTATGAGAGAAGTCAGCCTCATTTTTCTCCTGTGAAACAGCTGTTTAATTTGAACCACCAGGCTTAAGGTTAGCAGCCCAAGGATTAAGCTGCTTCACTACATTGGCTCCTTCACTGTCAAGGTGAAGTTAAATGTTAGACTGGGTTGAGTAGAGAAACAAATCCAGAGGCACTCATATGTGTTTAAGAGAGAGCTTTACATCAAAGAGTAATTGTATATTAAGAAAACATCCCAGCCCAGATCAAGTCCATAAGTCCAACATTAGCCCATATGTCAAACACTAGTCCATAAATTCCTCTTCAGACTCATGTAGCCACTTGCAATGATGTCAAATGCAGGAAGATCACAGGCCAGTGGGCGAAGTCTTGTGGATCTAGTGGCGATGGAAGCATCTCAGCACTGGCGTGGGTTTCCACGTGGCTCCTCCCGCTCTCTGAGTGTCCTGCCAGCAGGAAGGTGAAGCAGAGAGAGGGTGTGCCCACCTCCAGGGAGAAAGGGAGGAAGTTCCTAGAATCCTCATGAGAAGGCTACGCCCACTAGGAGGTTTCATCAGGCTAGACTTCATCCCTGCATTTATTTATCAAGTTGACATGAAATTATGTAACTACCACTGGTTACTCTGTTCCTCTTGCAATAAAGTATAAAATAAAGAAGTTTAGCTTCCAGATCAACTAGCACTCAGGAGAGGAGAGTGAAGCAAAATAGCATATATAATCAATATTCTTGAATGACAATTTTTTTTTTCATGGTAGCATGTTCACCTCCTGGATGGCCATGATCTTACCAGTCAGGTCCACACACAACGTGGGCCGAGGCAAGGTGGGGCAGGGACCCGGCAAGATGCTCGAGGATCCTGTTTATTGCTAACCAAGGGTTATAAGTACTTCAGGGGGCATAATTGCAGGTAACCACAGGTCACAGTAAGGGGCAGTACAGTAGGCATACACACTATAGGAAGGGGATATAGAATGACAAATTTTTTTATTGAGGAATATTTCCATCAATTTTTATTTTAAAAACAACTCTTAAGTTTCTCTTTGATAACAAAATCATTTTGTCTGGATTAAAAGCTTTTAGGTTAGCCCTTTAGTTCATAACTTATCATTTATAATGCAAGAATTGTTTTAATATAAATCTTTCTTGGCCATGAAATGTTGATGTGCTCTCATGTCAAACAGGGCAAGGCTAACCTAGGAGTAAATACTAGTTCTAGTTGTTCAATCATAAACAAAGTAAACACAAGTAGCACAATTACACCACAGCATTCAGTTGTAAGATGGTCTGCCAGAAGAATTGATTACAGCAATCTGAATTTTATAGACTTCACACACGAAATTGTGCACCCCAAATCATAGTCAAATAAATACATCTCAAGACTCTCAGGGAAGGGAAGAGCCAGGGAAGATGGTGGCCAGGGAAGAGTCACAGAAAACTCTCCTCAGTAACTACTGAAGAGATCCCTAGGAAGGAGGTCTTGAACTCCCTGGAAGCCAGAAATGCAACTTCAAAGCTAAGTGCATTAAAGTGTCTTAAAGTTGTACATCAGCATAACAGGAATATTAAGGGAATTCCAGATTGTAAGTATTCTTTCTGTCCCATATGCCCAGTTTCTGCCCTTGGAAACATCTACTGCTTCCATCAATACACGATGTTGCCTTCAATTGTGGAAATATATCCCTCGGTCTCAAAGAAATGTTCCTGGCTGCCCACACTTAGAAATCATATATGACCTATGAGAGGGAAACGATGGGGCTTTGGTGGCAGAATTTAAATACCAGGACTATCAATGTTTTCTAGGGAAATGCATATGTAATAGAAAACTTAACATCCTGAAGAACAAAGGCATTTCTAAATGACCGATCTGGGAAGCTAGCTTTTGATAACCATGTTCTTGTTTATGTCCCCAGCGTTCCGGTGCCCTCGACATCCCTCTGTGTGCGTTCCAGGGGACTGTGTCCCTTCATGCTCCGACCGGGAAAACCCTGTCCCTTTCTACCTACGAGGTCAGTGCAGAAGGGCAAACCATCACTCCCGCGGCTAAGAAAATAGAAGTCTATCGATCCAAAAGTGTGGGCCACGAGCCAAACTCTGAGGATTCGCCTTCAAGTTTTGCAGACACAAACGTGAAGATACACTTGGAGGTGCTTGAGATCTGTGACAATGAGGAGGCCTTGGACACTGTGTCCATCATCAGCAACATCAGCCAGTCCTCCACACAGGTCAGGTCTCCGTCCCTGCGGTACTCACGCAAAGAAAACCGATTTGTTTCCTGTGACTTGGGGGAAACGGCCTCCTACTCCCTGTTTTTGCCTACAAGTCACCCGGACCGTGACATGAACATCTCGATCCCAGACACTGTTGAAGCGCACAGGCGGAACAGCCAAAGGCAGCAGCAGCAGGAGAGAGACGGCTACCAGGAGGAGATCCAGCTGTTAAATAAAGCTTACCGGAAAAGAGAGGAGGAGGGCGAGGACCATTAGGGACCATTTGGTCTCCTAAACTCACACCTTGGTTCTGTTTGTACTCCGATTGGCTACTGGAGTTCTCTTTTTACTTGGTTTGCATAGGGAAGCCCCGGCAGTGGGTTAGACGCTGGACTCTAATAGAAAGGTCAGCCGTTCAAACCCACCAGCCATTCTATGGGAGAGAGATGGGGCCGGCCGCTTCCATAAAAAATGGACAGCTTTAAAAACCCGGTAGGGCAGTTCTACTCTGTCCTAAAGAGCTGAGAGGAAATGGAATCAGCACCATGACAGCGGTTTTGTTTGGGCTTGGTTTTCATAAGCTTCCCAGATTTACTGGTTTATTTCTTTTCGTGCCAACAGCTGGAACTAGTGCAAACACTTAAGTGCATTTGATGTGTTATCTATAGATCACACACTGTGGTAATTAAAAGAGCTTGTTTCTTATCTGATTTCTAAAAGCATTTTCTAAATCAAACCTTGGCCTTGCTCATTAGTGCTTTTAGTCTGTCACTCTCAGAGTAAACGGAAAATTCGATCAATGCAATGAAAATGCTGGCTGAACATGTATGTTTATGCTTTACTGTGCATGGAAGATCAGAGACCTTCAGGGGGTGGGAGGTCTGTAGCAACACTCAGAGAGTTGTATGTGAAGAGGTCTGTCTAGATGTGGCCACTTAAATATGCTTGTTACAGTGATTTCTTGAGCTTCACACCATGTCAAGGGAGCACATGTTTTTGTGTGTAAAATGACAAATGAGAATCCAACTTGGAAACACACGACTGTAGTCTATAAATAATCATTTGCATCATTTCTTTAAAAATGCATCTTGTTTACTGGGTGTTTGGCTGTAACCATGGTTGCCTTTCCTATATACAGCCATGTCAAGACTAGTTCTTACAATAAATATCATGTGTGTTATAAGTAGAAATAGAAGGTTTCTTTAAGACAAACCTGGTTTGAACAGGTTGTAAATGTGCACTTCATTATTTCTAGGGTTGTTTTGTTTATAAGAATGGGGGAAACACAGCCAAGGTAAGTTCAGAGGGGCACTCAACCAGAGCAATGCTCTCCCGGTAAAACAGAAGAAAATCCTAAATCTAAAATTGAAAGTGTCCACTTCTAAAAAGTAGAGTTTTGGATAAAATGTCTTAGCCATTCTTGAAGCTTAGGAAAGTTTAGTTCAAATTTTGCTTCTGTAGGTGCTTTTTAGAGCTACTTATCAAGGAAACTGTGTATCTGGTCAAGGGGTGGGGGGTGGGGTGGGGTGTTCCAAGGGTTTTATTATGTGATTTTAAGGTATACATTTCAAGATCATTGTAGGATGCAAACATCACCTTGTCAGAATGTCAGTAATATATAGATTTCCAAAATTATGTATTGTCTTTTCTTTAAAGTGTTTCCTTCTGATATTTCTGCAAATTAGTATTAAACATATTGCTTCTATTAGCTGAGTAAATGTTTCTTTCCCAAAGTCATTAGGAGTTGACATTTTGCATGGTTGTAAATTTGCACACTTTCACTTTACCCACTTTACTCAATCTTTGGCTTAGAAGGTGGATGGCTTGTTTCTTAGAATGATTTACTCAGCTTTCTATTTTTAAAAAGATATTTTAATGGAAATCTAAATGATCAGATGTAGTGTAGTGTAGTGGTTACGAGTTGGGTTGCTAACCACAAGTCAGCACTTTGAAACCACCAGCCATCCCATGGGGGAAAGGCGTGGCTGTCTGCCCCCTCCAGAGTTGCAGTCTCAGAAACTCCCAGGGGGCAGTTCTACTCAGTCCCAGGGTCGCAGAGTCAGCATTAACTCGATGGCAGTGACTTTAGATCAGTTTGTATTATCTTTAAGAGATGTTCTGTAGGTTTTTTTGCCACCAAGAAAAATCACTTTCAAAACAATTAGCTCAGTGAACTTTCCCCATCTCTCATTTAGCTTATTGATAATCTCATTATCTAAATCTAGTAAGAAAATGAAAGGCCATTATTGATGCTTGTAAAGCAAATTTCAAATAATACATAACACAAAAACCCATTCAAGTGTATTCTCATCACTAGTATACTCTACTTTCAAAGACTTGTTATCACTAAAGCTGATGGTTATTTTAGCCCAAATGCTCAGAACAATCTGCTATTTCACATCAATAGAGAAAAATGTCTATTATCAAAATAAAAACCTGAATTGAATATTTAAAAAATACTTTCTGAACAATATGATTTGACATAGTATATTTAGATATACAATATGCTGAAGAATAAAGATAATTGTGATGCTTTAAAACACAATCTCAGGCAGCAAGGAAATTAGAAACAAAACCATAGCAAAGCTATAGAAAATATTAAACAGACTGTGTTATACCAGGTAGATTAGAGAAACAAATCCAAGGAGAGAGATATATAGATATATTCTATTCCATATATATATATATGGAATTATAACAAAAAGTAATTGTATATTAAGAAATCCCGGTCCAGTCCAGATCAGGTTCATATGTCCCATATTAGCCCATCAGCCAAAGACTAGTCTATAAATCCTATTTCAGACTCACATAGTACATGCAATGATGCAAAATGCAGGAAGATCGCTGATCAGTGGGTGGAAAGACTTGTGGATCCAGTGGCCGTGGAAGCATCTCAGTGCTGACTTCTACAGGCAGGTGAAGCAGAGAGAGAGGAAGTTCCCAGAATGCTCCTCATGAGAAGGTCACGACCACAAGGAGGCATCATCAGGCTGTGACCTGATTGACAGGTTAATCTCCACCCTTTCACTCTTAATATCCTCAAGTTGACACAAGATTATATAACTACGACACAGACTATTTGAATGGGGAAAAAATCCTTTCTAACTTCATATTACCTTGAATAGGTAGAATTGAAATCAGTCTGAGGAGCACAAAAGTTGAATTGAAAGACAATATGATTCCCCACCCACCCTCACTCTCAGTCACTACTCCCTGGGTGTGCGATTTGTTTGTGTTTGACTACCAATCTAAAGATGGATAGTCAAACCCATCCAGTAGTGGCAGGAACAAAGGCCTGATGCTCAGCTCTGTAAAAATTACATCCAAAACTACATGGGATAAAAATCAGTCAGAATTAACTCAAAAGCAACCGTTTGGTTTTCTTGCCCTCTTGTATTACATTTCTTTTTCACTGGGTATGAACCTAGTCTAGAAAACTAAACAAACAAAACAAAACTAGACTAGACAATAACCAGGATATTTCCATTTAATTGCCTTTGGTTATTGAATTAGCTATGCAATGTATTTCACCCAAAACTTTTTATTAAACAGGGTTACTTTTACCACAGTCACAGTTTGAGAGGTCAACACCACAGGACTAACTTGTAACATTTCTAACTCTAAGTAACACTGACTTTGTCAGAAAAATCCCTTAGGGCTCTCCCTAAACAACTACTTCCCAGATCCTTGCTAAAATAGGGAAAGATTAAGCAACTCCAAGATACAGTGATTTTGGTTGTGAAAGTATGCTGCTGGCATTGAAAAAATTCATACAGATATCTGATACTATATCCAAATAGCATACCATTGCCTAGGTATATTATTCCTATTAACAAATTACTATAATATGTAAATTATTAAGTAGTATCATTAATGTCATATGCAAGTAAATTTTTGGAGAAGATAATCCAAAAAAGGTTGTACCAGTATATGAACAGGGAGCTGTCAGAAATTTAGGCTGGATTCAGAAGAGGTCATGGCATGAGAGATATCATTGCTGACATCAGATGGCCCTTGACTGGAAGCAGAGAATACCAAAAAGATGTGTGGTTGTGTTTTATTGACAATGCAAACGCATTTGACTGTGTGGGCATTAACAAATTGAATAGCATGGAGGCAAATGGAAATTCCAGAACAGCTCATTGTGCTCTGTGTGGGGTTTTTCCATGAAACAAGACAGCAATTGAAAGAGAACAAGAGAATAGAATGTGGATTGATGTCAGGAAATGTACAAGTACGTGTCAGGGTTGCATCCTTTCACCATATTTATTTAATCCACATGCTGAGCAAATCCTCTGACAAGCTGAACTACAGGAAGACCATGGCACCAAAATTAAAGGAAATCTTATTAATATCCTGTGATACGCAGACTGTCCAACCTGCTCACTGAAAGAGAAGTGTTTCAGTTTCAACACTGGCTGATGAAGATCAAGAACTGCAGCCTTTAGTATGGATTACAGCTCAGTGTCGAGAAAACCAGACCCCGAGAACTGAACCAGCAGATAACGTCATGATAACTGGAGAAGCCTTGAAGTTTTTGTGGTTATCAAGGCTTTCATCTTGTTTGATTTCATAACCAATGTGCATAGAAATGCCGTCAAGAAATCAAATGATGTTTTGAATTTGGTCAAGTTTTCTGCACAAGATTTCTTTACAGTGTTGAAGAGTCAGGATGTCACTTAAAATACTAAGGCATACCTAACTTATAAGCCGTGTGTTTTCAATCACATCAATTGCATGTGAAATTTGGATGATGCTTAAGGAAGAGCAAAGGATTGATGCATTTGAATTAGGGCAAAGACTATTGAGAGTACCATGAACTGCTAAAAGAACAAAAAAAAAAAAACTGACTAGGAAGAAGTACAGACAGAATGCTCCTTTGAAAAGGACATGCTATCAGTAAAGACTAGACCCTGAAAAAAAGTATATCCTGGTTGGTTAAGTAGATTGGCAAAACAAAAAAGGAAGATTATCAAGGAAATGGATTAACTCTATGGCTGCAGCCCAAAGACTATCGAGAAAATGGATCGGCTCTATGGCTGCTACCCAAATATAGTAACAACTGTGAGGCTGACAAAGGATCTGGGAATGTTTCATTCTGTTTGACAGAGGGTGCTGAATGTAGGAGCCAACTTGACACTACCTAAGAACAAGAAAGACAAGCTCGTGTCTTTTAATTTAAATAGATTTATTGGTGTGTATACGTCACATATTGTCAAATTTAAGTGTTCAATCATATTAAGATTTTTGCAATAATCACCATGATCAGTTTCAGGATAGTTTCATCATATACTCATTGTTGCTAGCTTCCCATTTCCCCCCAGCCTCCCCTGCTGTGCCCCAGGCAATTACCTATCCAGTTACTGTTTCTATAACTCCACCTGTCCTGGATTTTATATACAGAAAACACTACAAAACAAACAAGAAGCAAGCAAACAGACAAAGATCAATGACAATGCCATTCAAAACAGAAAAACATCAATTAAAAAGAAAGTAGAAAATATTAAAAACAGAAACAACCATAAAATGTGTCAAAAGGGAGATGAAATAATAAGGTATTATATTTTAACCTAACTACACCTGTCATAATCAACTTTACAATGCTTTCTGATAGCAAGGCTATTCACATCCCTCCGCTGTGGTCAGAGGGTATG